TACCCTCTTCGGCTCTTTCCTGTCTCCTACATTGTAGGCAAGTAGGAAGGTTTGTGCACCTCTGGGCGCCGGTGTGAGACCCTCACAGGCGCCGTTATGGGCCCTCAGAGACACTGGTGTGGAGCCGTTCCATGCGGGTATGGACCAGGACCCTAACCCGCGACCGCCTGGGGGGGGGGGGGTCGGATCCGACCCCCCTCCGTTTTTCTTGAATAACTTATGAACCGCTTACGCTATCGACTTGAAACTTGGCATACCTTCTCCCCCATCAATTTGACGTGTCCTGTGCAATTTTTAAGAAAAATTCCAAAAATTTTGAGATATATCGATTTTAGTGATGTAACTACATGGCTTTTTCAGTCAAAAAGTGGTAAATGTTTAAAAAAATCGCCAAAAATCAGGGTTTAAAGCAAATTGCAAATTAAGGACATGACTAGATGCCGCTCAACGAGTTCTTTAACATGGTTATCTCCGATTTTCCATAAGATGCGTTTTTCACCCCAAAAAATTCAAAAAACTATATTTTTTGGAAAACAGCTCATAAAATCCAAAATTTTGAGAATTTCGAAAAAAACGGAATATATGTTATAGAGCTCTATTAGAACATTGCATGTCCCAAATTTCAACTTTCTATCTTGATTTTTGACCCCCAAATTGTAAAAAATAGCTCCAACATGCATAGAGCATGGTGATGTCATAAGCATTTTCGTGAATTAGAGGCACTTCTGAACAATGCATGTGAAAACAAATGGCACCACTAGATTCCTGGGACAAAGCTCGTCTAGAAAAGTGCATTTTTATGTCAAAACAAGTTGAAAAATTGACCTTTTTTTCTTAGCCCTCTCTTAGTTAGTATGGTAGGTACACACGATTTTTATGCTTTCAATGCACACTTAGCACCAAGCACAGTGACTTGGGGACACATATAACCATTACCATCGGATTCGGCGTGAAAAATAAGCCATAAAACATGTGTCGCACGCCCATGTAGCAGAAAGTGAAAACCGTGACCTTTCGTGACCTGACCTGACCTTGACCCGTACTTAGTATGACCCCTATACGCACATGGTACCTTCACTAGGTCTTTGAGGTCATTTTTTGTGAGTTTCGAGCAGCAGCTGTCGATTCCGTTGTCCGTAAGCCTAACTATGCAAAACCCCAGAATTTGACCTTTGACCTGACCTTGACCCGAAAGTTAACCTCAATCTTAAAATCTTAACCCTATTCCTGGCGGGGGGGGGCCTCAGGAGCCCCCCCTGAGGTTTTTTGGTTATATCTCCCAAACGCGTTGAGCTAGGAAGCTCAAATTTTCTGACTTTTCCTAAAAGGCTTCTACGCAACATGTCTGAAAATTTTGAGTTGATCTGACCTCAGGTCAGGTCACCAGAGGCGGTTTGGTGACGCTACCTCAGAAAAGTTTGCAATCACGCCAGAGCTAGAGTTTTTGACCGATCAATTTCTTCTCTTCAGGGTTTAGTTAGGGTACCAGTATGTGCAATTTGTATATCTCGGAATTTTGATATCGGTGACCTAAGGTCAGGTCAATTTCGCGACCTCCCCATTATAAGTCAATGGGGGAAAAATCAACTCCCTGTTTTTACCACTAAAACGGGTCGGAATGGCCCCATATACCATACATGACTTCATATACGATCAACCTTCACTACCTTGAGGTCTGTTTTGCTGTTGGGCAGCTGTGAGGTCATGTGACGTCATCAAAGGTCACCAAAGGTTTTTGGCCAATAACTCCGTACAGGAACAAGATACAGACGCGTGGATGGTCTCATTGTGTTCAGCTCGTCAAGACGCATCGAATGATATACATGATGACCTCTAGGTCACGTGACCTGAGGTCAACCTTTGACCTTGACCTTTCGAGGTCAACATATATATCATTCGATGCGGATTGACGAGAGGATCACGATGATGCCCTTAGTTTGTTCCTATCTTGACTAATTCGAAAGTTATTCGAGAAAAACTCTCTCCATATCTAGTGCCGCCATTTTGACTTTTTCGACCCCTGTGACGTCATCTTTGACCTGACCTGGAAATGACCTTTGTAAAAATTGTAGATCTTGGCCGTGCGTATCCGATGCCGTTTACCGCTTGTCGCTATCTTGCTTCGTTCTCGAGATCTGAGGGGGGGCCGAATCGGCCCCCCCCGCCAGTTTCTTGTCCCGGCGGAGCCCGCCAGGAATAGGGTTAAGAGTGCTTTGGGAAGGTCTTGTAGAGACCTTTCGAACGCCGCCTCGCGGGGCTCGATACGACCATTGGTTCTCGAGATAGCAGGGGGGGGGGGTCGGATCCGACCCCCCAGGCCGTCGTGGGTACGGAAATAGCCCAGGCGGTGCCGGGCTAATTAGAGCTGACGCTTAATAGGTCAGCAAGGTCACTCAGAGGCCAGCACAGGGCCCTCAGAAGCCGGTGTGGGCCCTTATGGAGATGTGTGATGTGTGGCGACTCAGGAGCCCGTGACTCCGTGAGGTGCTCTCACGAGTCCTGCAGGTTTTATCTCAGTCGAAATAAGACACGCTTGGACCCTGAGCGGCCAATTGGCACTGCAGGGCCTCTCGGGCCCATAGGGCACCATGCATCTAATGAGGCGGCACGCGCTCCTTGTGCCCCCCCTGGTTACGCTGCACTGGGTGCGGCCATACAGGTAAATCATATTCTAACTTCTAACTTCATATTCTAAGTCCCTATTCCCAAGCATAGGCGGCGGCCGATTCCTGGTTTGCGCAATATGAGTGCCATCGTTAGACAATACGGTCCAAAGGGTTGGAGCAGCATTACTTCCCTGTGGTAAGAACTAAGAAGCAACATATTTTTAGACAAAACAAAGCAATGACAACTAAATTGAGGTTACTAATACGACTCTGATCACAAAAGTAGTTACTAGGAAGGCTTTCTAATCCATTTTTATTTAGTTCCTCGTTATAGGCGTAAGAAGTGTAAGTCTGAACGGGGGGGGCATACTTGTACTGAATGCCCTCCCCCAGGCTCCTGTCGGAGGGGGGGGGGTCATATGCCGCTAATGCCCCCCTCGATCCGCCAGTGACGTTGAGTGACCTTGGTCTTATGTTTTTCAACATGTGCATAAAAGGATGTATGATAAGGGGTGAGCACCGTCCTCTTGACGTTTGACATTTGACGACGCATTTGATGGATGCACGCAGGGGACAATGTGGTACGCGGAACGATGTCGCAGTGAAGCGCATTTCTCACGAGGATAAAGATGAGCAGCGCATCATAAAAGAAATCAAGCATCTTCAAAAACCTGAAGGCATGGACAGCGCCAAGGTCATCAGGTAAGATGGAAACTTCATGTCTCGAATTATATATATATATATATATATATATATTAGGGTGTGTCATCGAGGGGGTGATTCTCGCAGAATCAAACGCCGTAAGGTTTTTCCTTGGCACATTGATCAATAATGAATTTTCATCCATATCCGAGTCCACCAAAATTAAAATTCGTGCGGCGCCAGCCGTTCAAAGTTTTGGCGCCCGGCGTTGCAGTCTCCAATGCTGAGCGTCACCCAGCACTGCGAATAACACCAAGTATTGTAGGAGATAATAATGCAAAATAACTACCGCTGAAAATGATGCTTTTGAGCGCTTCTAAGGCTGATTGTTGCAAAAAAAAGCATGTCCTTAGAGTGTCCAATTATTCTTTTTATTGTGCTCAATGAATTAAATCGAGCATGGCTTCTGAAACTAAAGAAGAAGCTGCCCGATTTTGAGAAGCGGGCGGGGTGGAACTGGAGGCGGAGACGGGAAGTGACTCAGATTCGTCTTCTGAAAACACCGACTCCGTGGCATCCTCTGGGCGGTGCTTCTTCTTCTTCTTCTTCTTCAGCATGTCATCTCGTGTGACCTGGCCCGTCTCCACCAGGAAGTCCCGGATGAGTCCAGCCTCGGTGGAAAGGATCTCCCTCAGCGTCGGCAAAGGGCCCCACGGGCGGGTCCGTGGCCCCTGGTAGGCGGGGTAGTCGACCAACAGGTGTTTGGCCGAGTCCGGTTCGTCGCAACGGACTTACTCGTCAGACTCGGCCGGACCAAGTCGGAATCGGGTGTCTCCGGTGAGTGGGGAGCAGCTCACGCGGAGCTGTGCCACTGTGATCGACGCTCGGCGGTCCAGTTCTCTCTCCGTGGCCCAGAGCGCCACATCGTCCGCATTCGCAGATGTGTACCTCCAGTTCCCGAGCCGCAGTTATAGCCGGTCATACGAGCCTGCAGGGTTAGCGTCCGATGGCTGCGCTGGTCCTTCAGGAAGACAGCCTCCTCCTGAGTGACTGTGGGCGATGAGACTTTTGCACCTGCTATGAGAGTTGCATTTGCATTTGGCGATATCCAGGAGTTGTTGAATTATGCAGTGGCGGCGCTTTGCTGGTTCCCTGTGTCGTGCTATAATTGTCGTATGGGCATTTCCTAATCAGCTACGTTTTTTTCGCCTCGTGAATTATGATCCGGATAGCATAGGGCCCTGCCGAAAGTGACACGGCCGCGTACAAAACATTTCGTGATAGGACAGCCGGCACTTTTGTCCCAACAGCGACTGCTGACTAAAGCAGAGGCCTTCAGTTATGTCAGGTGGCTGAGTGCTCAAAGAAGAAATCCAACAAATAGTGCATTTAGGGCCGTGGCGAAAAAAGGACAAGGCAACTCTGAACTAATGAAGGAATCCCTGTTCGCGATCTATGTAAAACACACGACGAAAGTGATCAAAAGGGACTGCTATAAGCCCCACAGACAGCCCTACAGACTTCTGAACAAAACACCAGAGACACAGGAAGGAACAAAGCGCCGCCACTGCATAATTCAACAACTCCTGGATATCGCCAAATGCAAATGCAACTCTCAGAGCAGGTGCACAAGTCTCATCGCCCACTGAGTCACTCAGCAGGAGGCTGTCTTCCTGAAGGACCAACGCAGCCATCGGACGCTAACCCTGCAGGCTCGTATGACCGGCTATAACTGCGGCTCGGGAACTGGAGGTACACATCTGCGAATGCGGACGATGTGGCGCTCTGGGCCACGGAGAGAGAACTGGACCGCCGAGCGTCGATCACAGTGGCACAGCTCCGCGTGAGCTGCTCCCCACTCACCGGAGACACCCGATTCCGACTTGGTCCGGCCGAGTCTGACGAGGAAGTCCGTTGCGACGAACCGGACTCGGCCAAACACCTGTTGGTCGACTACCCCGCCTACCAGGGGCCACGGACCCGCCCGTGGGGCCCTTTGCCGACGCTGAGGGAGATCCTTTCCACCGAGGCTGGACTCATCCGGGACTTCCTGGTGGAGATGGGCCGGGTCACACGAGATGACATGCTGAAGAAGAAGAAGAAGAAGCACCGCCCAGAGGATGTCACGGAGTCGGTGTTTTCAGAAGACGAATCTGAGTCACTTCCCGTCTCCGCCTCCAGTTCCACCCCGCCCGCTTCTCAAAATCGGGCAGTTTTTTTCTTTAGTTTCAGTAGCAATGCTCGATTTAATTCATTGAGCACAATAAAAACAGTAATTGGACACTCTAATGACATGCTTTTTGCAACAATCAGCCTTAGAAGCGCTCAAAAGCATCATTTTCAGCGGTAGTTATTTTGCATTATTACCTGCTGCAATACTTGGTGTTACTCGCAGTGCTGGGTGACGCTCAGCATTGGAGACTGCAACGCCGGGCGCCAAAACTTTGAACGCCGCACGAATTTTAATTTTTTGTAAAAACGGTTGCTATGCCGTGTGTTTGCAGGTCTCAGTGCCAAGGAAATTCTTTACGGCATTTAGTTCTGTTACTGATGACACACCCTAATATATATATATATATATATATATATATATATATATATATATATATATATATATATATATATATATATATATGTATTTGTATCGAGTTTCAAACAAAATCTCAATCGCACACGTCCACACGTGTCCAAACCAAGACGAACAATGATTGCTGTGCGCCACTTTCCACACGGCACTCGCCACACTGCAAAATACAATACTACTAAATTCACTGCAAACTGCACAAGAAACAACGCACCTAAATTGAAACTCATTCCGTAATATCCTTCCGGCCTTTGAAGCTCCACGCTTCAAACGAACTCAGTAGGCTTTACTCAGGTCTCAACACTCAATTAAATAAGAAAACAGCCAATTCTTAACCCGACAGTTGCTGGGGTATTTCGCCACCCACCGTTTGCTGGGGGGGGGGGGGCGTTAAACGCCCCCAGCCGATAACTCGAGAACCAATAGGCGCAGCGAAACGCACGAGGCGGCAAACGAAAGAACGCGACGAGACGCTTCAACTAAGTACTTTAAAGTTGAATTTTTAGGTCACAGGTCGGGTCAAGGTCAGGTCAAACACCTGAAATCGGGCTTTCAGTAGCATGGACTTCAGGACTTCGCAATGGGCGCCTCTCGTCATAAACTCTGTCAAAACGGTGCACAATCCATCATATAAGGCCTACAAAAGTGTCAGTTCCATGTAGGGGTCAGTCAAGCATAGGTCAGGGTCAAGGTCAGGTCCACCGGGGCCCGATTTCACCAAGTGAATATATTCTTGGTGTACTTTGGAAAAGTACACCGACAAAGTACGACGATAATACTATTCGGTTTCGCCACAGGAATATATTCAATACGCCCGCTTTACGTACTTTGAGAGCCACCGGCGCGCATGCATATATCTTTTCTTGTCGGGGACATGCAGTCACTATATTTTTCCGTATTTAAAGTCGACGAGCTTAAATGCTCAGATATACAATATTATGGAAAAAATTTCTAGCTACGCTAACCAGTATAACGCCTTTTGTGGCGACTAACGGAGCGAGCGAGAGGGTGGGCCTTGCACGTGCGAAATTGCGAGGGGGTACCTCCAACTGACTTGTGCACGGCACCTTACTAACCGGTCTCTAGCGATGTGCCAAATTTGAGCACAATCGGCCCAGCCGTTCTCGAGATCTGGAAGCGGCACCCTGCACGTGCGCACGTGCAAAACGGGTCCCAACTGACTTGTGCACGGCACTCTACTAACTGCTCCGTAACCGTGTACCAAATTTGAGCGCAATCGGTCCAGCCGTTCTCGAGATCTGGAAACGATCCCTGCACGTGCGCACGTGCAGCAGCACCCCAACTCTGGCACATGGATATGCATTGCCTAGTGGGTGCCTACCTACATGCCAACTCTCAGCGCAATCGGCCCAGTAGTTACCGAGATATTGCAACAATTACAAAAGTGACACCTCTTCGTTTTGCACGTGGCACGTGCATAAGGGGTCACCCACATGCATCGGGAATAGTGCAATACTTGGTAGAAGGAATGAAGCTACCCTACAAAAATTACCGCATGTAAATCGGTCAAGTGGTTGCTGAGATATAAGCCTCGCAAAAGCGTGACCACGGCCGGCCGGCCGGCCGGCCGGCCGGCCGCTCATACTCAGAAATTTCCGTTAATCTAAGGAAAGACTACGCTCGCTTCGCTCGCTCCGTAATAAGAATTAAATTTGCTGATCATACAAGAGGAAGTACCTAAACAAATATTGCTAATAATGCTCTTGATTTTTGCTGGGAGCATGACATTCCAAAGCAAAAAATGTAAACCAGTATAACGCCTTTTGGGGCGACTAACGGAGCGAGCGAGAGGGTGGGCCTTGCACGTGCGAAATTGCGAGGGGGTACCTCCAACTGACTTGTGCACCGCACCCTACTAACTGGTCTCTAGCGCTGTGCCAAATTTGGGCACAATCGGCCCAGCCGTTCTCGAGATCTGGAAGCGGTACCCTGCACGTGCGCACGTGCAAAATGGGTCCCAACTGACTTGTGCACGGCACCCTACTAACCGGTCCCTATCTATGTACCAAATTTGAGCGCAATCGGTCCAGCCGTTCCCGAGATCTGGAAACGACCCCTGCACGTGCACACGTGCAGCAGCACCCCAACTCTGGCACATGGATATGCAGTGCCTAGTGGGTGCCTTCCTACATGCCAACTTTCAGCGCAATCGGCCAAGTAGTTACCGAGACATTGCAACAATTACAAAAGTGACACCTCTTCGTTTTGCACGTGGCACGTGCATAAGGGGTCACCCACATGAATCGGGAATAGTCCAATACTTGGTAGAAGGAATGAAGCTACCCTACAAAAATTACCGCGTGTAAATCGGTCAAGTGGTTGCTGAGATATAAGCCTCGCAAAAGCGTGACCACGGCCGGCCGGCCGGCCGGCCGGCCGCTCATACTCAGAAATTTCCGTTAATCTAAGGAAAGACTACGCTCGCTTCGCTCGCTCCGTAACAATCGGCAGCAAGCCGCGCAGCACAGTGGACGTTACTGGCGTGTGTGGGTTTTATTGGATTTTGAATTGATATTAATTTTTTCTTCCAAGTTACTTCTCATTAGATATTGCTTCAATATTTGTTCACATCTTCTACGCAATTCTGGAGTGGTTCAAAGCAAATATAAATAAAGTCGAACAAGAAATGGCATTACTTGAGGCACCTATCTTATATCTAACTACCGATCACTGACGATAGCAAGGAGCACGGCCGACTAGCCGACAAATTATCTGAAATATTACTTGAATCAAGTTTTTAAATAATCGAAGGGTCTACCGACGACTTCAAATATGGATAATATTTCGGAATCATTCGGCAGACTGAACCTGAACGGAAGCGGGAAGCCGGTGATAAATTGAATCATTTGGCCACAACACAAAAAAATATGGACATTGGACAGCATATGGGTACTGCAAAGAAATAGCAAAAGTGGGCGATGAAAACGAATGTAAACGAATGCGTTGTGACCTGTGATGCAACATGCTGGGCATGTCAATCAAGGCGTTGCTGGACTGGACTTCAGTCCTTCCTCTCGCCCTCGCCAGTTATTTACTTCCTCTTCGGTAAAACGCTGTATAAAGAGCACGGTGTAATAATCACGGTGAGAAAGATTTGAAACGCTTTTGGCCTTTTGTGTTATCAAAATACAATGTGAACTGTCGTTTTTTTAAGTGGAAAACTCAATGTAATCGGGAATGCGAATGAAAAAAGGAATTCCCTGATGTGTTTCTGCATGATGGGGTGATTTTAATCGCAGTGATGCCACGATGAGATAAGCCTTATAAAAATAGCTGTTCTGGGGTTTAATTTCAATATAAGCCCTGACACACGATACCCTATATATCCAGCAAGAAATAACCATTATGACATCAAAAACTTTTTGCGTAGCCTGTGGCATGTTTTTTATCATACGTTGCATCGACGAAGTCATTAAATTTGTAACATTATCATACAAAAAAATTGATGTATGCCAAGCTGTTTCTCAAAGTATGCCACAAAAAGTAGCATACTTTCAATGCCAGCAAACTCGGCAAACAGCTGTTGAAAAAGCAGATCGGCGTACCAGAGGTACCTCAAATGTAATAGTATGCCAAAAAACGACGGACTTATGCAGTCATACTTTGTCTTTGTCTTGAATAAGTATCCCTGTACGGAGTTTGGTGAAACTGAATATGTCATAATATGCCAAAAGTGAATATGTACGCCGCCGTAATGGAATATATTCACTTGGTGAAATCGGGCCCGGGTAGGCACATATCCCCGAAAATCAAAACTGATATTCGCAGCCTGTGACTTATGTTTTATGGGTAATTTGGGGCGAAGAACACGATGGTGACATTAATGTTATCAAATGTGTACGTGTTTGGCTCAAAAAGTTCAATTTAACCCTATTCCTGGCGGGCTCCGCCGGGACAAGAAACTGGCGAGGGGGGCGATTCGGCCCCCACCCCCCCTTCAGATCTCAAAAACTACACATCGCAGCGACAAACGGCGAACGGCGTTTGATAGGTCGTTTAAAGATCTACAACTTTTACAGTAAACATTTTCAGGTCAGGTCAATATTGAGGTCACCAAAGGTCATCAACGATAAAATGTTTTGGAATTAGTTACCTATATAACTTTTAAACTAAGAAACATAGAGACATAAAACCAATACATTTTTTGTTGCTCTCGCCGAGGCGATGCGAAATAAGTATGTGATGACCTTCACAGGTCAATTTGAAATTTGACCTGAGGTCAAGGTCAGGTCATTCATCAATGAGGTTGTGGGGTATGGTCATGCTGCATACCAAACGACGCGCCTTGACCAGGCGAGCAGGTTGGTACCACTTACAAGTCTTTAGCACCATCATGTCGTGATTTATTGACAAAAAAACGATTTATGACGTCACATGACCTCAGATGACCTTTGCCGGTGCCCCTGTCAATTAGCGGCACCAGGATCATCACCGATGAGATAATCTTCCATAATACTGAAAGAATTGGGTGGTTTTGACTCGTTTACACAAAGCAGGAGGCGTTTCAATATTTTCCCATAGGCTTGCAATGTAAAGGTCACGAGTCTGGCCTGACCTCAGGTCACATATATGAAAATTCTGAGATATACAAATTGCACATACTGGTACCCTAACTAAAGCCTGAAGAGAAGAAATTGATCGGTCAAAAACTCTAGCTCTGGAGTGATTGCAAACTTTTCTGAGGTAGGGTCACCAAACCGCCTCTGGTGACCTGACCTGAGGGCAGATCAACTCAAAATTTTCAGAAATGTTGCGTAAAAGCCTTTTAGGAAAATTCAGAAAATTTGAGTTTCCTAGCTC